ATATTTAGATATGAGATATTTAACATTCAAATACTGCAAATAAAACTCCAGATATCTATAGGACAAACTAACCTAGAGATATGTTGAACCGGATGAATTAAGAGCTATTTTTGAACTATTTTAATTTTAATTTAGTGCCTTTTCTAGTCACAATTACAATGATAAAGATGTACTCCAGTCAAAACATGGTTAATTTACACAGGTTTATAAAGCATTTAGTACTGATGTAATTGTTGCTATCTCTAATTGTTCTTCTTCCTGCTCAGAATATAACAGCAGATAAATTAAATTATCTTTCAGACAGGTCAAAATGTAGCTGAATGTAATTAAAGACAAAGCCTGACACACTGCAGTCAGTTCAAATGTTAAATGTCTACAGACATGTGAAGTGACTGAGTTTTTTCACATGTGACTCCTGGTTTTAAAGTCAAAATGAAACAAATTAAAGCACATCTTACTTCCGGGCGTACATGAGCAGGCCGAAGCTGACCAGGATCACCAGCAGGTAAACGTTCGTAGCCTCGTTCCAGGCTTCATGGACCGAGTAGTCTAAAGACTCCGGCTCGTTCCCCAGAACCCCGTGAGCCCCCATCGACACTTAAACACGAGCAAAAACAAATTTTCTACAAGTTAGCTCGACTAGCTGCAGCTGTACGCTGTAAACACTGCGTCACTTCCGTAGCTGTGTAGATATAAAACAGCTAGAAGACTCTGACCCTGACGCTGAAGGAGCGATACGTTCACAGCGAACGCGTTGTGAGCGGCAGGAGCGGCCGATTTACATGTAAAGTCTATGGTGGAGGCGCCGCTAGGGCTCGTGCGTCGCGGCACGTACGTTTTGGGCAGAGAGCAAAGAAGGCGGAGGGGCGCAGAGCGTTTTCCGCGCATGCGGTGCTGCGGAAGCCGCCGCCGCCGCCGCTACAGTTCAAATATCTGAACTTTTCGCCGCTCGACGCGTCACTTCGCTGTTTTGCTGCAGCGAGGTGTACTTGCGCTGAAGTATGGAGGCCAATTAACGCCACCCTGATAAAAAAAATAAAACTTGTATCTCATAATTATGACTTAGCTATCTCATAATTATGAGATACTATCTCATAATTATGACTTAGCTATCTCATAATTATGACTTAGCTATCTCATAATTATGAGATAGCTAGGTCATAATTATGAGATAGCTAAGTCACATGTGCCGAGGTCTGAAGCTGGAAACTAAGAGAGGCGTAACACATCTGTGCATTCCTGAGAAGAGGCCCCCCAACTCTTGGACACTACAACAGGAACAGTATTTACAGTGCCAGAATGTCATGTACAAATTAAAAAAACAAATCACCAACAGATTATCTGTTTATACTGGAGAAATATTAGCTGTTCTAGCTGTACAGTGGGTGGAGGACATAAAACCATTAAAAACAATCATTTGCTCAGATTCAGATAGCACACCAGACATTTTATTAGAAATATTACATACTTTATATGTCCTGATGCATCTCAGTAATCCAGGTAAAAAAATCAAAAAGAAAAAAATTGTATAGGTCTTCTGGACGGGTTCTTCTCTAATGAAATGTTTCGTCTCTCCTCCAAGAGACTTCTTCAGTCTGAGACATTGCATCCTTTATACAGAATCCAAAGCAAACGTTTAACTATAGTTTTTGTATGGATACCAGGTTATATTGGAGGAAATGAGATGGCAGATAAAAGGGCTAAGAAGGAAACTCATTAATTTCATAGTACGCACTAGGGCTGCCACGATTAATCGATTAATCGTTTTCCTTTTTTTTTTTGTTCTTTACTTTGTTTTTCTCTCCAAACTGCTTTGACACCTTCCACTGCCACATCGGCCTTTCTGTCCTTGACACACATGCACAGTAGTGGTAACTGGGGTAGGCCGTGGACGTCACAAGACATTATACAGACAGGCTCTGGTATCAT